TGTAAATAATCCACATGTGCAGACTGCACATAAAGACATCCAGTACTTAGCAGTTCCCTTATCGCAGCGTGATAGCCCAGGGACACAAGAGAGACGCTCCTGCCTCTATTCGCTAATACGGTGTGAAAGTAGATGCAAACGCCTGTTTTTTATTATTGAGGAAGTTGCGTTAACCGGGGGAAGAGGCTGTGAACTTTGAACACATTTGAGATGGGGGAATATAAAAGAGGAGCGTCAAATGACAAGGATACAGAATTGCACCGGCTTTGTTGCTGATAAAAAAAAATAAAAAAAACGTTGTCATGTGCTGGAGGGTGTTTTCTAATCAAAAGCACCTGGAGGGCTCACTCCCTCTGAGCGTGGCGTGTGGACGTAGGCGTCCAGTTCTACACTCGTGTTCTAAATCCCAGTAACAAGCTCGCCTCCCAAACAACAGTCAGTTTGCCATTATAATGGGACGGCTGTAGTCTTGTTGACACACCAGACGATGCTTCTGATACATCCGACGGGACGCGTCAACACGCAGTGTGTCACAAATCCCGTATTTTTTAAGTAAACAGCTTTTTACATTACAATGTAATATAGCAGAGTTTAGATCTCCAGTAGTGATTATTACCAGGCCTGAACATTTATTAACTGGGGAGACCTCATCCGTCACTTGATTCAGACTCTCATAGCACGTAGACAGCATGCCCCCCCCCCCCCTCTCTGTGCTTCAGATAGAGTTTCCAGCTTATCCCATTTGTCAGGAGCGGCTCTTACACTCGCGCGTCTATCGAGCGTCCAGTACCTTTTGAATGGAAGATCAAAAGAAGATAAAGGAGGAGTGGGAGTGGGAGGAGGAGGAGGAGGAGGAGGAGGAGTGGGGCATCTCTGAAATAGAGTGGGTGCTGAGTAAACATCGCAGTGACAGTTCACAATGGGTTATTGTAGCCCAGCATTAGGTCTCTCAAAGGCTCGCCGGCTCCAGCGGCCTGTTTATTCGAAAAATACAAACATGACTGCAACGCTCCTGAACGTGGAGCCGGCCTCACAGCGCAGGTTCTCATCCCGCTCGCCGCTTTGGTCTCGTTATTTTCTGCAACACATTTTACTCATCTTCTAAAAGAAAAGTCACATTGTAAAGTTATGAAGACAGCACATCCAGGCATGTGCTTGTCTGCCAGCGGTGTAATTTCAGTCAATTTGTCAAGAAGATCATTGGCTATGTTTTTCCAGTGCATGATCACATAATTATTGCCCTTACTTTAATGGGAAGAATCATTTTAATGACGCTGTCGACATGTATAGTCGGGAGGCTGTGTTTTGTTCAATGATTATGTTTCTCCTAAGTTTAAGCTGCCGTCCACAGCAGTAGATATCTTTGTGTTTCTCCAAACTGGGGGCCTCCCGTCTACTGTAGAAAATACAACCCCACTTTAAAAAACGAACAAACAACCATCCCTTTACTGTACTTGTTAAATGCCCATTTTTGTAACAATGCGTAATATTGCAGGTTCAGTATTCCTGTATCTACTCGCGTTAACTTTCCGTGCTTCAAATGAAGATGACAGAGAACAGACTTCCCAGAAACGCATTTCTTCATCCATTACTGTCTGAATTTCCTATCATATCCTGTTGACTCAACTCTCTTTGTTCCAACACCCTCGGTTGTAAACCCAGACACACACACACATTTCACTGCATGTGTCATCAGTTACAGGGGAAAAGAAAACGGACAACTTTATTTACTCTTCAGTGTGCCCGTAATACCACGCCTTGGGTGTTGTGAAGGATTTCGTTACAGCATTTTTTTTTTTGTCTCTTGAATTTCCTCATGAATTATCAGCGTCTTACTGTCTTAGTCATTCAAGCTCTCTTTCTCACTCACATGATGCCTAATTTGCTGACTACGTTGACACCACCTCACCCAAGTTATGTTCATATTTACCGACAGCGTGTGGCCGGTATTGTTTTCACTTTGTGTGGGTGTGTGTGTGTGTGTGTGTCATCGTGTCAAACTGTGGTCCTGGAGACACCTACTGTAACGGGAACTACAACAGAAGTGGTTTGGAGTACTTTGCCGGGTGTTAATGTCTTTCCGTCTGTGGACAGATTTTCTCACCGCGATAGCGTCACAACCGTGAACGATGCGGTCGAGAAACATTAACCGGTGTGTAGCTGAGATCAAAATGAAGGCCGAGTTCTAAGAGGTTGTAGGCCAACCCGGATGTTAGCCTCACACTGGTTCCCTCAACAAAAATCCAATGGGATTACTTCTTTGGATTATAGCAGATAAAAATGTCTGTGGAAATATCAAGTTTATGATACTTAGGTAATGTACAGTGGGTACGGAAAGTATTCAGACCCCTTTAAATTTTTCACTCTGTTTCATTGCAGCCATTTGCTAAAATCAAAAAAGTTCATTTTATTT